CATTAGAAAGAATTTTTTCAATGTCAGAGTAGTTAACAAATGGAATGCATTCAGTTGTGTTGTGGTGGAGGCTGACTCTATACAAAGTTTCAAAGATATATATGATAGAGCCCAATAGGCCCAGGAATCTGAACACCAGTTGATTGACAGTTGAGAGGCGGGACCAAAGAGCCAAAGCTCAACCCCCGCAAGCACAAATAGCTGAGGACACACACAACAGTAATATGCACAGACAAACGTACCAACGCAAACGTAACATTATAAATAACCAGCAAAACCGTAGTAACGCGCTTCCGCTACAGCAACAACGCGCACCCGACAGTAACAAGGAGCTCACACAACGGCCCCTCAGCACTTGTAACAGGGACACACACAAACACACACATTTTCTAAACCCTACAAGATATACACATGAGAAGATAACATAAACGCACACAAGGAACACCCGGGTCTCCACGTGAGGCCACCGGCAGCAGGGCTCCAGGGACACCTTAGGCAGTAGCAAGCCTCGACGCACTGAACGGTGGAGTGAAGAGGGATGAGAGAGAGAGGGGAGAGGCTTGCGAGCAAGACGGAGGTTACCGCTGGACTGATGAGGGGGAACTACAGGCTTCTCCCCCTCACTTCCACAACTAGAGACGCACGTACGCACGCGCGCTCTCAAGCACGAACGTTTAAGCTTGTACGCACAAGTCTGACGACTTGATTTTTTGTCATGGGATATGGAAGCTCAATAGCGGGGACTGGTATAGGGGAGGGGTTGAATGCTCCACCCCGTGTGAGGTGTTGGCTGTCACTGTGTACTCGGTCATATGGTGATAGTGTGTTACCGAGGCAAGGAGTTAATGTTTGGTGTTTTGGGTCGTTTTGTTGACGAGTCAGGAGTACATGTCGCCGTCTGTGGCCTAGCAACGTGTGGTAAACACACACACACACACACACACACACACACACACACACACACACACACACACACACACACACACACACACACACACACACACACACACACACACACACACACACACACACACACACACACACACACACACACACAAACACACACATACACACCCACACACACACACACACACACGCACACACACACCCACCCACCCACACACACACACACACCCACACACACCACACACACAGACACACACACATACACACACACAGGCTCTCACACGAACACTACATGTGTTTGTATGACAGTCATACTTACACATATACGTTCACCCATACATGCACACGAATACCTATAGTACAAGCTAATAAAATAGTTTTATAAGTAGTCATTTGGGAAGGTGAGGCTCAGGAGCTAGCGTTCGCCCCGGCAAGCACACATACACGTGAGCCAACACACCCTAACCACACATAAAGAAAATAGTTAACCTTTGCGAGGTCTGACGTCACATTCTGCTGTGCTCATGATACCGATTGCAATGAGTACATGATATTCATTGATTGTATTAGTGGTATACATGGTAGCGATTATATTAGCTGCGTCTATGGTGTTTACAGTGTTTGTGTACGCTCTCTTTATTATAGTAACAAGAGGTCGAAGATCTGTTCTTCTTGCTTGATGGCGCGTCGAAGATCAATACATGTCATTTGGTGTACATGGGCCACGGGGTAGTCAGAGTGAAGGACACGGGGTCAGTCTGAATGACGGACACTGGTCAGGCGGAATGATAGAAAAGGATTTGCCGGGAAAATGATCAAAATGGATTAAGGAGTAATAGCTGTCACACTTATGTATATTTCTCTGCATCGTTGTCAGCTCATTGTGTTCTTCACAACTAAGGAAAGTGTGCTTGAGCCAAAGGTAGTGGAAACAGCTGTCACTCACAGCTGTAAGAACAACTTTGACAGAATCCTGGAATGTCTGGAGGAATAAACGCCCAAGATGCAAAAACTAGGAGGCGGGGCTCTGAAGCTAGATCTCGACCCCCCCGCAGTGAAACAACTAGATACTGATGTCTCTCTCTCTCCCTGTCTCTCTCAAACCCATCCTTTTATTTGCCGTGTTTTTAAGTAGCTGCTGTGAGTGGATCGAAGAGGCACGCCGGGAAGCGGATCACCCACTAAATATTGCATTGTACCGGTGAAACCCGGCCTGGATGAGTCCCACAGCTGAACTATCGAAGCACGCAAGCTCAACTGTCAAGGTGAACGAAACCGAAAGTTCGAGGTGAACGAAACTCTGCTTATTTGTTTCTGCCTCGGCCGGGAATCGAACCCAGGCCCTTAGGACTACGACCCCCCGAGTGCTGTCCACTCAGCCGCGAAGCTCCCGTATATATATATATGTGTGTCTGTGTGTGTGTGTATTCACCTAGTTGTGCTTGCGGGGGTTGAGCTCTGCTCTTTCGGCCCGCCTCTCAACTGTCAATCAACCGTTTCTAACTACTACTACTACTTATTGTTTACACACACACACACAAACACATACACACACACACACACACACACACAACTACACACACACACACACAACTACACGACTCCATTTAGGCGGGATCCAAGAGTCAATGCTCGATCCTGCAAGCACAAATAGGTGAGTACACACACACACACACACACACACACACACACACACACACACACACACACACACACACACACACACACACACACACACACACACACACACACACACCTGAAAGACTCTGAAAAAAAGACACTGAACTTTTTCAGTGTCAGAGTAGTTAACAGATGGAATGCACTAGGCAGTGATGTGGTGGAAGCTGACTCCATACACAGTTTCAAATGTAGATATGATAGAGTCCAGTAGGCTCAGGAACCTGTACACCAGTTGATTGACAGTTGAGAGGCGGGACCAAAGAGCGAGAGCTCAACCCCCGCAAGCACAACTAGGTGAGTACAACTAGTTGAGTACACCGCTGAGGAATACACAAGTACACCGTCGCTAGGAAGGGTATTATGTGTATGTCGGCTGCGAGGCAAATATTTCGTGAGATCAGTAGCTCAGTAGGAAGAACGTTCCCAAATTCGCAAGAAACAGATGAACTAGAAGCTGCTTTTGACCTTGAAGCTTTGTCGGAGACCTTGATATTTGGTCCAACCATCTTGTGAGGACGTGTGTGCTCACCAAGACCTTAATACGAATTACCTCCGGCATCTCTGAATTTACGAACTGAAAAACACATGAACGGTAAAACGAAGGGATGCAAGAACAGACGAATGTAAGCATGAACAAACGACCGGATGAGCACACCGTCAGACGAACAGTGGCTTGAGAGGCAAGAGCAATCTAATACTGCACATCCTTTGCCGACTGAACTTTAATTGGAACAAATTGAATACTGTTATTGAAGACTGCCATCCATAACCACGCTAACATTTGAAGCATTGTGTATATATCTACACGTATATATTTAGTGAGATCACTCCACGTAAACACTGAAATATTTAGCTTAGTCGGTCATCGATTTGGAAGACGGGGAGAAAGATACGAAAATAGTCAAACACAAATGGAGGAGGGAATAAGATGAAGGCTTTAAATTAAGTCACTTCAAGTTGTCCCAATATTTGTAGGTCACAGGCTCCAGATAGACGCCCATTGGAAAAGACTTTATTGACCAGTTCAGATAGAAGGCTACTGATTTCCAGATTAAATACTTCGAGCCAGATAAGACAGTTGCCAGAGTATTCAAGCACAGCCAAGCAGAGGACCAGATAACACAGTTGCCAGAGTATTCAAGCACAGCCAAGCAGAGGACCTGTTGATGGTGAGTGGTGGTCACGAAACACAATAAGAGAAATATTTCCTTATCCTGATCCCTTCCCAGAGCTATATAGTCGGAATAGCTTAGCGCTTTCTCCTGATAGTTCCCTCCCCTTGCTGGAATTTACAGAGTTCTTCAACATTTCACGGAGATGAAGTGTTTCTGCCGTGTGCCCACACTTCACAACTTGTTACCATGTTCGCGTATTGCGTTAGGCCTATGTAATAGCTTATAGTTCTGCCTCTACTATGTTCTGGTTGTCACCCACTTACACTCGGCAACATCCCCGGCAGCCGTCGCCTTGTTACGACAAAGCTGGAAACTACAAACACCACTTCTCTTTCCTACCTGTGAGACTTCAACCTTATAACTTTCCTGACGCGTGAGTAATCAACCTCACACTGTCTAAAACAGGATTTATTAACTTTAAGTTCCTGTACCGTCATAAGAGCCTACCTACACAAACAGTGTTCTTCTCGATGTACAAACAGTGTTCTTCTCGATGTACAAACAGTGTTCTTCTCGATGTACAAACAGTGTTCTTCTCGATGTGTTGTTTGAACTGTCTTGTCTGCTAACTGGCAAGCGTGACAGCTGTCGGTGCCGTGTTGTAACAATTAAATGCGGGTAGTGTCTCCCTTAGAGTTTTTACTTTATGACTCCTATATTTTGCCTGCACCCAAAATTTGCCAGTGCAGGCTATTAAACACATGACTCTGTATGACTAACCATCCTGCGAGATGGGGACTTGTATTACCACTGCTACCTTATTCAATCTTGTGTTGTTGATATCCTCAAAATGCATCCGGAGTCTGCCAGTGCAGACCGCTAATCACATGCCTCTGTATGACTAACCATCCTGTGTGATGGGGATTTTATAGCATCACCTAGTTAGCTTTTTTGACACACTGTACTCCACTTCATATAGTCTAGGGTAGCTGCACTAATGCAGATGTACCTAATATGTTAATAAAAAAAAAAAAAAAATTTTGCCAGTGCAGACTACTGATCATATGACCCTGTACTTCTTTGAAAAATGGTTTATTAGAATTAATACTATTATATTATATCAAGAACATGAATTATTGACGTAGTTACGTTAGGTTAGATTTGGTTAGGATAGATTATGTTAGGTTTGATAAAATGTTTATGTTAGTTTTAACTCAAAATACTTGTACACAAATACAGACAAATAAAAATCACTTATAATGGAAAGCTTCATAGCTATATATTTCCATAAGATTTTTTTTATACAAAATATATAATTTCAGGAAATTTCGACTTGTTATTGAAGGAAGCCTTGTTAGGCTTCTTTGAACTATTAGGAAGCCTAACAAGGCTTCCTAATGGTTCAAGGCTTACAGGACATAGTTCCAGAAATATGGGACATAAGACATAGTGTTAGACATTTTGAACATAGAAGCTTATGTACATATGGGATAAGGTTCCATACCTACAGGACATGCTACCAAACGTCTGAGACATGATTTCAGACCAATAGGACACACTGTTGTTTGTTTCTGGATTTATCTATTAATCTTTTTCGTACTTTTCCGGGGGAGAAATTCTAAATATCTTTTGATGCAACCGATAATATTTGTTTACAAGAAACATTGGAAAGCTACAAATAACTATTCATGCAGGCAAATATTGTTAAATAATATGTAGAGCTCAGTGGAACATCAGCTCACTCGCCTGACCTTCCCCACTAACGCAGCCATTTTCACAACAAAAGTGTACGTTTATACCTTGATCAGGAGCTTAATACATCTTTGTCCACCCAACGATTAATAAAATCAAATGCCAGGCAAAGCATTTTATACCAGATGAGTCCCATTGTGTCTCAAGTGAGCCTTCTTCACGCAAGTGAAGGGACCCAACACTTGTAATTCTCCTTTGGTGAAATGTCAAGTACGGTTATTCTCAAAGTAATGCTTTGTTGAAATGCCCTTATCTTTGGAAGAAAACGTTGTACAGTATGAGGTGTTAGTCAGTAGAACACCCACCCCGCGTGACCAAGCTCTTCAGTGAGAGGTGTGCGTCAACAGAACACCCACTCTGCGTGACCAGACTGTTCAGTGAGAGGTGTGCGTCAGCAGAACACCCACTCTGCGTGACGAAACTGTTCAGTGAGAGGTGTACGTCAGCAGAACACCCACCCCGCGTGACCAGACTGTTCAGTGAGAGGTGTACGTCAGCAGAACACCCACCCCGCGTGACCAGACTGTTCAGTGAGAGGTGTACGTCAACAGAACACCCACTCTGCGTGACCAAACTGTTCAGTGAGAGGTGTACGTCAGCAGAACACCCACCCCGCGTGACCAGACTGTTCAGTGAGAGGTGTACGTCAACAGAACACCCACTCTGCGTGACCAAACTGTTCAGTGAGAGGTGTACGTCAGCAGAACACCCACCCCGCGTGACCAGACTGTTCAGTGAGAGGTGTACGTCAGCAGAACACCCACTCTGCGTGACCAGACTGTTCAGTGAGAGGTGTACGTCAGCAGAACACCCACTCTGGGTGGTCAGGAGGCCGGCAGTACCGTGGACACATCTCACGGAGGGTTTCATTGTGATACACCTTCTTGTACCTGGCAAGAAACGGTGCCGAAAATGAGAACAATAATAATACAAATGCACGAAGAAATCACAGTAACGTGATGTATTAATGAGAAGATCTATTGAACCAATGAGGTGATTCGAACCAGCGAACTGGGTAATTCCAGCCGCGCACCTTACCCCTGTACCACGACGTGGAATAAGTTATATAACCTGGGATTCCAACCGGTCCACAGGACGTCTGGAGGGGGCTCCCACACTAAATGTATGGGAGTTATATGTAAAACTTGTACTGGCTTCAGTAGGAGCCTCTAGATGTCCTGTGGACTGGGTGGAATCCCAGGTTATATAACTTATACCACGTCGTGGTACAGGGGTAAGGTGCGCGGCTGGAAGTACCCAGATCGCTGGTTCGAATCACCTCATTGGTTCAATAGATTTTTTTAAGGATAACAATAATAATAATATAGTAATAATGCAAATGATAATAGCTCATTGTAATCATAATAGTTGCAATTATAATCATGCGAAACTTAAAATTCAAGATTTTTTAGTAGCCTGCTGAAACTGACTTTCGATATCCGACGAAGATGCCGTTGTGGCGTTGCGTGGGCCAGGGTAAGGAGTCCTCATACACCCCGCACCAGAAGCTGTCATGAGCCATCACTTTACCCTCCATGGCCGGGAACAACTCACTCTGGGGAAGAAGGATAAACATACACTAAGATCATTTAGAGGAGAAGCTTAGTCGGCACCGCGTTTGTGCTCGGTATCTTTGAACTAAAACTGTCGCAACGACCAAAAATAATAATGCACTCACATTAAATTAAAACAAATTAATTTCCACGCTGACAAAACATTTGATTTAAACCTTAACCATGCCAAGAAAAACAATAAATTATGTTAGGCGCCATAGATACGATATCTGAGACGTTAGTAGAAAACGGCATATATACATCCTCTCACCGCCAACAGTAACTGGTCGTCAAAGTAGCCACTCTTGCCGACAGCCTTGGCCAGTATGGTGTCCCTGAGGGCGGCCAGCTGGTGGCGGGAGTCATTGTTTAGCTTGACGCCCCACAACCCGGCCATCACAGGGACAAAGTGGTTGCGATGGTCACGCATCACGTGGAACACCTGCTCCGAGGACAGCCATTCCTTTACTGCGTCTGCTTCACGCGCGGTTATCTGCATAGGTAGGTCAGATAATTGTTAGGAGAAAGCACTAAAAACCTTGGAAGGAATGAGGATATGGTTTTGGGATAGGACGGAGGAATGGAATGGTGCCCAACCACTTGGACGGTCGGGAATTGAACACCGACCTTCCAGAAGCTAGAATGTCACTCTACCATCCAAGTTATTGGGCATCATTCCTAACTACATTACACCGATGAGAGTATATTTACGAAGTGTAACCAAGACGATCATATTCTCCATGTCTATTGCCAGCTCATAATTAACAAAACTATTACACACAGAAATCACAATAGCGTGATGTATCAAATGAATGGTGTAATGAAGTAAGGGCCAAGAGGTAGAACGGCCTATTGACATAGCTCGGGTGCATGGGGGGAAATTGTGTAAAATCCTGGTGTGTCTCGGAGAGGCTGCAGGATCCAAGTAAATTCAGTAGAATTTCTGGTTGCAATTCTTATACCATGTTGTAGCTCAGTCGATTAAGACAGCGTCTGGGATGCTCTCAGACGTTGGTTCGAATCCTCGTCATGGCCCTTGTGGATTTGTTCATTTAACACAACTATCTTCAGGTGACAGATGTAGTGTTCAATTACCATAGATCTTTTTATGTCTCTTATATTTGATCTTCAGGTTTCCCCCTTATTATTCACATGCGACCGTTAATCCATAGCCGGTGCATTAATGTATCTCCCGCTCAGATAAAAATGAAGAGCTGCCTTACCAGCATTAGAATGCTGCTCAATCCCAGTATCCGTTTTCCCTTACCGCCGAGTCGAGGTCCCGCACCATCATGGCATCCACCTGGGGGTCGCCTAGAGGGGCGATGCGCCAAACCGACGGCAGCACCAGGGACAGGTTACCTAGGGGCGGCGGCAGGATGGTGGCGTCGCAGACGAAGAAGTGGTGATGGCGACGAAGGAGCGGGCACAGGATGGCTCCGCGATCACGAGGATCAGTGTAGAGTCGCACCTTCCATCCCGGGTACCGACGTTTCACCTGTGAACATCAGCGCGATACAAAATACGGCCGAGCTTGGATTGTGAGGTTATCGGGCATCCAGTTAGATGTGCTGCCACCAAAGGTCACATCACTCGCACAGTGTAGAAACCTGAGCAGTAATGACTGTGACATGCATTTAGGATAAATTGGGATCGTATCTTTATTGAGATTATATGCCTTATCATTATATTTCTTAGTTAAAATTCTTCGATACATGCAAAACACTCCCATATAGTTGGACCGCGGTATGATTATTACCCATTATTAATGCTCGTTATAAAGCTTTCTCTAACTCTTAGAATACTGGAATCGTTGCCAGAGAAAAACATTATTTTCTCCAACATTAAGGGAAAGTCAGTGGTCGCGTGACAACTACTAGGCCAGTTTGATAGATTAAATTGACTAGTTGATTGTGGAAAACAATAGAGGTGGATTTACTAGATGGATGATAGACTAAAACAAACTTATCAACTAGACGTGTGCTAGTTATATACTTGGTAGAGTATTTCGTCAAGTCCAACCCAGAATTCAGAGTTGTTGCCGTACAGGGAGAA